GTACAACCGGACTGTTTTTAGGGTAAAATTAGTTATTTGGGGTAACACGTGCATGCAACCTTGTAATAAGTTCGTGGCTTGTAAATAGTTCGTCATTACTCAGCGTAAATGGCTTTTCATTAAAAATTACCCGGCGACGCATCTTTAAAATGGCCGGCGACGCTTTAGGCTTAAAAATCCATATATTGCGTATTGCCGACGCTGCATCCACCCTCTGCATAGTGGGAGTGATTGGAGTCATGGACGGTGGACCAGTCTCCTTTGTACACATCAATTTTGATCAAATAGAAAAAGAAAGCATCTGCTTTCAAAAATTTATTTCTTCAATGTTTTCATAAAATTATTTTTAATAGCTTCTGGATAATAAATGAGGAGGCCATGACCCATGAGGCAATGAGGCATGAGGGAAGTTGAAAGTTTGGAACTACCTAGAGTCCTAGATATCTGTAAATAAATATAAATGAACAACCTTATGGTCACTGCGACATTGGTTAAAGATGGACGTTCTTTTTCTACTAACCCACGCGGCCACCGAGCCTCCCCTCTTCCAGTTTCCCTACCTCTAATTTCTTCACAATCACTGATGACTCACTGTCAATCTGATCCGGCGACCGACACGTGACGTACCTAATACCGTAATAGTATACACATACGTTATGTTCCTTATAAGACCAATTTGACCGTGGTTGGTTGATTTCCCTCTACACATGTCTAACTTTTCGTCCTAAGCGCAAGCGGGTTTATAATTAGCAACGCAATTCGACCTAGATATCGCAGTGCTTTACACCGCACAGACGTCAGACTATGGGAAGCGCAACAGCTGGACACCTGGCAGTTTGAGACGGAACTTATCATGCTCCGGACAGAAAGAAAGTAAACCCGGAGCCCTTGAAATGAAAAATCCTAATCTTCAAGGTCGTAATCTACAAAGTTAGGCTTAACCTATGTAATAAGTTATTATGTAAGCCATGGGAAAGGATGATCATGAAAGCTACAGAAAAATGTAATAAGTTTTTCACCAATATTAATTCTTCTACGTTGGCTTTTATCTAAACGAATCTCATGTACAAATTTTTGGACCCAGACGCTCCCCTAAAACAAATACGCGCACTGTATATTATTTCTTATTCTTATATGAAAATATTTTATTAACTGCATCTATGAAAAGAAAGTTGCGTTTTAATAATTAAATTAATTTATTATCAAATATGATTTCAGAATGAGTATTTTTCAGTGTCACTGTTATTACGTATATGTACAAAAGTATCATGATGAGTAAAATGGAGGTGAATAACCCGTCATTAGGTCACAGTTTGGATGTTATCGATATAACCTTTAGACATGAGAGGAATGATAAGCACGCTAAGGGAGAAATGAACAACATGATAACGTTAACACGGTGAGAGAATTCTCATCATATTCCTATGTAATAACAACGGACTTCAACTTTCCCAACACAAAAAAAGGTAAGTTAGAGAGAGTTATAAAAATTATTTGCATGCGTGATGTCACACATATGATAAGCTGATGATAAGCATCTTGACATCATTTAACGAAATAAATGATCTCCTATTCATTCAGCATCTTCAATGAATTATTATCTATTAGATCGTATCTATTTCCATGAATTTCTGAGAGTTAAAAGCATTTGATGTAAGTAGTTTGCATATATATATATGCTGCTTAAATGTCTTTCGGTCTTTAGTTTGATTTAAAGTTGATTTGGTTACGTGGGTGGATTAAGGAAAACCATATAGCTATGCCGAAAATATGCGGAATAATTGGATATACAAATGAATAATTCAAGCCATTTTTGCACTTAAATTATATTTAACCCATGATTTCAGCACAAAACTTTCATGTCGACGAAAATCACGTTCACTGTCTTCAACTGATGTATAAACACGTGTAGCGTAATCAAATCATTTTAAGAACACATTCATTGTTTCCTGTTCACTTTTGACACGCCTTCATTGCCATCAGGCCACTTCAATAATTAACTTTCATAGCCGGCCAGTCGAGTATGAGCACGTCCAATCTAGTATAGAATCTTAATAGTGTTACCAATTAATAACTAATTTAACAGGATGATTTCATGATAATGGTTGCTGATTCAGTGTGCTACTAGTTTTGATTCATTTTCAAACGATATAAAAAATAATTCCTAAATTTTACGTTTCTTTCGTCTTTTTTGCCAATGCAGTGCCTCAGTATAGTAAATAATGACATGTAACTTAAACAGCCAATCAATGACGGCTTCTCAAGCTAAACCTGCCAATCATAGACGATATATCGGCCGCCATGTGTACCAACGACCATACATGTTACTTAAAAAAGTATTGGCACTACGGCCTGTAGCTCAACAACAATGCAAAACCATTATTCTCAACCACCATATGCAATTTCAGGAAGGCCGTAGCGGTGGTTTGGATCACCTAACTCATGTGTCAATGAACATTCTCAAGATGTATTGAGTTATATATATTTATTGAGTATTGATTATTTATTGAGTTATGTGTTGAGTATACTCAAGATTGTTCTTGAGCACACTAGCAGACTTGAGTTTCTCGCAATCAACTACGAAGTCTTTGTCTAATCTGATGGTGAATCAATATGGCTGTCGTCTGTCGTGTCATGAAAAACTGGGTGGGGAGAGTGTGAGAAGTGAGAGGGGAGTGTAAGGGAAGTCATGTGAAGGGTAGAGAGGAAAAGTGCGGGGATGTGAGGGGAAGTGTTTGAAAGTGAAGGGACGTGATGGGAAGAGTAGGGCAGTGAGAGGAAGTGTAGAGCAGAGAGGGGAAGTTTGAGTAGGAGAGGTGAAGTGAGGGGAGGTGTAAAGAAGAGAGGGGGATTGATGACAAGCAAATAGAAGTGAGGGGAAGCGCGAGATGGAAAATGGAAGTGAGAGGTGGTGATGGGAAGTGTCGGACTGTGAAATAAAGTGTAGGGAAGTGAGGGACTGTGAAGGGCAAGAAAGGAAAGAGCTGAGAAGGGAAGGGAAATGCGAGGACGTGAGGGCAGTCGTAAATTTCATGTATAAAATTTAATCTGAAAACTGAAATAGAGTTTGCAGGTGTAGAGTGTTATACATTAACAGTCAAAAATGTATACATGTTTTCATCCCATTATGCAACGAATATGATTTCTCATAGTCAATATGTTGATACACGTGACTTAATTATTAAAAGAAATATTCAATGTATATCGTTACATCCAATAAATCAATATGCATGAGGTTATAGGAAGATATTTGATCATAACAATAATATTTGATTTCGCAATGTCAACATCCTTAATTATCAGCAATATTGATACAAGCTTCCGTTCTATATTATTTCTGCACGATTGAGTGCAAAATTTAGCGGGCAGTGTGTGTCAAGAGAATGATGTGTTAAGAGGATGATGTGTCAAGAGAATGATGTGTCACGAGGATGATGTGTCAAGAGAATGATGTGTCAAGAGAATGATGTGTCACGAGGATGATGTGTCAAGAGAATGATGTGTCAAGAGAATGATGTGTCAAGAG